GCATCGAGGAAAGAAAAATAATGTGTCCAGACTGTAAAGGAAGAAAACTAAATTGTCCTTTCTGGAATGATTATTAATATAGAAAATGATACATACTAGTATTAGCGAGGTTGCCATGTCAACATATAAAAATAAATGGGGTGCCGCCTGTGCCTCAGTGAGTAGGGCGCTGGCCCCATATACCAAGGGTGGCGGGTTCAAACCCGGCCCCGGCCAAACTGCAACAAAATAATAGCCGAGTGTTGTGACGGGCCCCTGTAGTCCCAGCTTACTGGGGAGGCTGGGGCAAGAGAATCGCCTAAGCCCAGGAGCTGGAGGTTGCTGTGAGCTGTGACTCTATGGTACTCTATCAAGGGCAAAAAAGTGAGACTCTGTCTCAAAAAAAAAAAAAAAAAAAAAGAACAAATAAATGAATAATTGAATTTGAATTTTATCCAAGTCTTACTTACACTATCATATACACCCCCCCCCAAATCGTTTGTAGGGTTTGTGTGTAGAAAACCATCAAAGGCTAATAAAAGCAATGAATACAGACCTAAACAAATGTAAACATAGACTATGTCCATGAATTAAAAATTCAATATTGCTTGCATGTAGGTCGTCTCTAAATTGATCTTTAGAGTCAATTAAATGCAAGTAGGGTGTTTAAATTGTAATAGAAAGACAGTAATACTACATTAGTAAAAAATAATTTTGAAAAAAGAACATGGAGAACTCAAATTCCTCAAATCAAGAAAGTAGGAAACTGTAGTATTTAAGACAGTATTGCAGAGATGAAAAGGTATAGATTTAGCTCAGTGGAACAGACTACAGATGTCCAGTAATGAATCCACCCACATTTGGTCAACTGATTTGTTTTGAAAGTACAAACGTAATTCAAAGGAGGAAATCATTGTCTTTTCAACAGATGTGTGATGCTAGCAACAATTGGACATTTCTATACAAATTAATTTCTGATTATGTAATTGTAATTTAATAATCCTAGAGAAACCTCAACCCAAATTTCATATCATATAATGAAATAGACAACTTCAAAATGGATTATAGACCAAATTATAAAACATTAAAGGATAAAACAGCTATAAGAAAATATAGGACTAATCTCTGTAGCCCTGAGTTAGGCAAAGAATTCTTAAGTATGATAGCAAAGCTATGATCTGCTAAAGAAAGAAAAACAGACAAAGTTGACTTCATAAAAATTAAAATTTTTTGCTTGTGAAGGACACTGTTACAAGATTTGCAAATGTTTTATCTTAATCATCATTTCAGACAATCTGTGGCTTGTCTTTTCATTCTCCTATCTGACAAAAGAATTGGATACAGGATACAAAAAGATGTCTCTGGACTCAATAAAAAAAAAATCCTTAAATGAATGGGCAAAAGATCTGTAGACACTTCATCAAAAATAATATATAGATAACAGATAAGCCATAAAGAAACACTGAACATCAGGTGAATGTAAATTAAAACCATTTTAAGAGTTACGGGAGAATTAATAGAATAAAAATAAAGAGGAACTGACAATACCTAGTGCTTGAAAAAGTAAGTGAAGCAACTAGAATTCATAGACATTCTTGCTGGGATGTAAGATGATATTAATACTTGGAAAAAGTTTGATGGTTTCTTGAAAAATTAACATTCACTTATAAGACCAGGACCTCCTTCTATTCACCCAAGAGAAATAAAAACTTTATATACATAAAATCCTGTATGTGACTGTTTATAACATCCTTGTTCATAATAGCTCCAAACTGAAAACAACTAACCCATCTTAACTGGTGAATAAATACATTCTTGAATGCTCAGACAATGGACTCATGAGCAATAAAAAGTAGTTGACAATGGTACGTGCTACAGAATGGACGCATCTCTAGTGCGTGATGCTAAGTGATGGGACCCAGGTTGAAAGAGTATCTACTGCACGATTCCATTCATATGATGTTCTGGAATACACAAAACCAGAGAGACTGAAATAGACCAGTGCTGCCAGGGCTTGATGATAGGAAGGATGCTTGTCTATGAAGTGGTAGCAGGAGAGAATTTTAGGGGATGATGAAGCTGTCCCATACCTTGATTGTGATTGATATATTAATCTATATAATCTACTATTAATTTTCCAAACCATAAATGAAAAAAAAATGTTAGCATATGACAATCAAAATACAATTTTAAATGGATAACCATTACTTTCTTTTCATGTGTTTGTAAATATTTTTCTGTAAGTCCTCTCCTTGATTGTAAGACATCATTCAAGATGAACCATTGTTTTGTGGTGCAAAACAATGGTTGTGGAGAAAAAATACCAATAAAACTCTAACACGCCAAATGATTATAAAATGTACCTGATTTTAAAGTTGTCGTTATATGAAAAATAGGCACCTTTAAATATATATACTGTGATATTCAGAAATAGGAATTCAGCCTCTGTCATGTCACATGTTTTTGATTCTGAAAAATACTGGATGCCTGAATCAGAGAGATCTCTGAGGTTTGGGAGTCAAGAGAACAAAGGGGCAGTTATGTCAAACAAAGGACTTGAGTATGGAGACAGGAGAAGGCAGGTCTCTTGCCTCTATGTTTGAACATTCTTCCAAGTGGTAAAGGTGAAATTAGACACTGTCATCTTTTGAGTGTAAAGATTAAAATTGCCATTTTAGTCCATAAGAGGGATAGTGTAGTCCTAATTACATAATTTACAGAAAAGGAGAAAATAAGCCTTGTTTGAAACCATCTTTTAAAAAGATCAATGAAAGACATGAAGCTAGAATGGTCATTTATAAATGCAACTCATTTAAGGCAAATTCAATGTATAAGTTATCCTAGAAGTAGACAAGTTACAGCAGGTTGTGACGGAGACATCTGATTACTTATCTTAAGAACAGCTCATCAGAATTCCTTTGGATAGTAAATGTTCCACTCTGGTTTTAAATACTTTGTTTTGATCAGATTGGATTTACACATGTATCTTTCACAATGTGTAATGTGAAGTTCATCGGACATATAATAGCAGAGCTTTGCCTTTGTGAATTTTATCTAGAATGAGATGAATGAATTGCCAGACGCAGTAGTGGAGTACTCAAGTTGATAGATCGCTGGGAACCTTAGAGGGACTACTAATTTGGATAAGTAAATACGACAGGCTTTGTTCAAAAGACAACAAAAATATTCAAGTTTTTGGAGAAAAACAAAGTCTACAAGATTTATAACCATTTCAAACTGCCCCTATTAGTCACTGATGTATATTGTACATATTTTTAAGAGACAGAAGAAATGGATCCAATTAAACAAATAGTGGGAAAAACTACTTAGCGCGTATTTTTTTTAAGTGATCGATACCAACTTGAACTACCATTTATTCAAATGCATCGAGCTTCATTACTTTAATGTGCTCCTAAAAAGTTCAAGTCAATGTTGTATAAAATACTTACAAATCTAGACCGACTCAACTAACTGATGAAACTTCTTATTTAAAAACATTGTATGTGGAATTTTTCAGGGGGCTAAATAGTATTCAGCGACATGTAGCATTATACATTCATTTTTCCATATTTTCACCATCATCTCAGAATGTATAGCCATTTCCACGAACATAACACCTGTGGAATAAATTTTAACATCTCAAGTTCTAATGAGATGTTAGAACTAAACAATGTAACTTTTATATATGGAGAAAAGAGCCTGTAGTTTTTATTCTTAAATAACAAAATCATGTTACAATGGAATAAAAAGGCAGAAGATACAATGAAGTGTTGTGTGTGCTCAATATATATCCATTTATTAATGCATATGCCAAAGGATCACATCGTATTATGCATTTGGAGTAGTCAGTAACAAAGCAATTGCCTAACAATTTAACATGAAGTAGCCAATCTCACTGATCTGTGTTTTCACACCTGGTAGCAGAATGGTTCTGACAGTCATGGTACTAATCACTTCTTAACATATTGGGCTAGCTTGTTCATAAATCACAATCATTGTAACAGGTTCTGGTTTCTACACGGATAGGCAGTCCACTAGCCGTTATAACCGCAAGTGATCATTACAAAGTACTATTCTACAGCCAAATATTTAGGTACAGACTCTAAAAAGTCAGACCATAAAAACACAGAAAATGCAAATATTCAAAAAACAATTTTGTTCTATTTTTACTTACCGAGCTGTTGTTCTCCTATTGCATCGGACGCATTTGGGGCTTGTAAATCACAGAATCGTAAGCAATTTCTGTAGACCTTCTTTAACTTTTTTCACTAAATAGATGAAAACGTGACTTTTGGCTTCAATGCAATATATAATAATGCCGCATTCAGTACAAATCATGGAATATTTTTGAGAAGAAAACATTGAACGGATTATAGAGGTAAGTAAATGAGGAGACAGTCAGACTGTCAGAGGGAAGATACTAATAGTATAGTTATTTATCACAGGTAACTTTAATAAACCTTCCATCCCCTTTCTAAACTGTTCATTCTATGACTTTTTAAAGAATGGAAATATGATAAAACAGACATAATGCTCTATGACAAAATGCATCCACTTACCTTTATTATAAATGTCATGTGACCTTGGCAGTTATAAAGAACAAAGTTTTGTCAATATATCAAACATTGTTAACAAACTCTATTCAGCATTGCTTTGTATAAGTTTGCTTTAATAGCATTTCTTCACAGTGATATTTCAGAAAGGTTGGAAACGGGTCAGCATAAAATATTTCCCACCTTTTCTAGTTTAATTTGTATGCAAAAATCATCACAATATATCTGCAACTATAAAATTACAAACGCTTTCTAGAAGTGACTGCAGTTCTAGTTATGTTAGAAAAGGGTATTTCTACATACAACGTATGATGTGTTACATTGGAGATGGGACACACCTACAATGAGACTGAGTCTAAATAAAACAATTTGAGTAACAGATGCTTTCTGATCTATGGGTAGAATAAACCAATTTAACAAGGACAACTGATGGGCCAACTCAGAAGATGAATTGCTTTTTAGTATGTTTGTTTCATGGATGAGAAATGGGGTAATGAAATGAAAATTTTCAAAGATATTCTTGATGTTTCACTTTACATCGTAATTTTGGCACTTCATGGAACATTTATTTCCCAAAGACCAGAATTGCTATAAAAGTTCAGCAGGTTTCTCAGGTACCTTGTAGACATTGTATTCGAGTATTGGGAAACACTGAGACGCAGGTAAATACACATTCTCGAGTATTTGCACATGCATGCAGTAATGACTTAATAGTTTATGAAATTCTCAACGAGTTCTCCTTGCAGGGTTCATTTCAAGCATTCTCTTCAGTAGACCTCGTTTCAGATTTAAGTCTTACAAATTCTTTAGCCACATCGTCGCCAGTCCTCTGGGACAGTATTCTAAGGATAGTCAAACCAGTTTCATCCATAGAGATATTTTTCAAAAGAGGATACCATGCCCCATAGCTTCCTTTTTCTGCTATGTTCTTGAGCTGAATGACTGTCATTCCGATAATCCGATCTTCTCGGGCAAAGCAGTAATCCTTCACCGAGAGATGAATTTCGTAGGCTCCTGGACGGTTTTCATTACTCAGAATGCTGTGTGGATTAAAAATACAAATTTGGGCAAAAAAAAAAAAACTTTACTTCCTCTAGGAATCATTATTGTTCTAAAACATTGTTGAGAATTGTATACATTGACCAGAATACTATGTTGGCAAATAGAGTATCAGTGCATTTTAACCCCTGATTTCATATCTTTTAAATTTTATTTAGATCGTCTTTACATAGGTATTAGTGAGAAATCTAACATAAAATGCGTCTTTCCTTACATAAGAAAAAATATGCTTTACTGTCTTGATGTTAAACATATTAATAAAAATGGAGATGAAATATCGTGTACTTAAAACACTAGAGGCAGCATCACCAGTGGATAACAAGATTGGGGGTAGAATGAGCGAGGTGCTAAGGGTTGCAGGAGTTAGGTGAGAATTTCTAGGCCATTTCAACGTCAGTACTACAGTCAGTTCTTTTTCTTTTCCTCAGGCTCCTGGATAAGCTACATGTATTATAGCCAGGAGCCTTTTCTCGTGGAAATACACTGCATCGACTATCAAGTACTATTCACAAAATGCTAAATTAGACACACAACTCCAGAGTAAATCAGTTCCAGAGGTGATTCAATGCCAATTCTTCCTGATGGCAACAGTGAGACCTGTCAAGTATGCGGCTGAGACTGGCCTCTATGAATGACGATCTAAGACTCCTTGTCGGTGTGAAACTGAATGTATGAAGAAGGCTAAGGCTAAGGTAATATGCTGGGTATAATTTTCATCCTCTCCTTATTTACATTCCTTCTCAGATATTCTTAACTTTCTAATGAATGCACATCTATTTCTGTGCAGTACAAGCTTCCAAATTTTATTCTTTTCCAGGGGAAATTTCTCTAATGGAATATTTTGCAGAGTCAAACTTTCCTGTCTAGGTGACACAGATTATCAAACTCATTTTATTTTAGGGAAAAATCTGAAATAATATACAAGAAAATGGAAGACCAGTGGTTAAGAATAGAAGATCAAAATACCCTAGATGTTAGATCTTCTTGTGTTTTAAAATTTATTCAAATGCCGCCTATTCCAAAAACTGTGAGGTTCTAGGAATTACTCGAATCATGCAAAACTTAGACATCAGTGTGCACTGGGATATTTAAAGTTTGCACCATTCAAGTAATTCCTAGAACCTTTCAGAAGACATTTGAAGTGGGTCGAAGTTTCATATAATTTGGAGCAGCAGATTGGTGGAGTTGGGTAAGTTAGTTTATTAGAGGGGTTATTAATGGGATTAATCTGTTGAACCTTTTTATCACACATGGTAATGTACTTAAGTTTTAATAAATGGTAACAGAGTGAAGAATTCAGAGAACAGAGTTATGAAAGGACGGCAGGAAGGCCAATGTGCAGAACCAACAAAAACACAAATCTGTAAGAGACTGTTTTGGTGTGTGTGTGCCTCTTTTTGTATGAGCCCTTAGGCCTTTGTTCTATGCACCCCATCTTCTCTATCTGTCCTGAGGCCAGCTCATTCAGATTTATGGAATTAATTAAGTAAAACCTATATGCAGAAAACTCTCCTATCTAACTACATATTTGACATCTTGTCTTGGGTGTCTGATAAGAATCTCCAAATTAATAGATTTAAAATAAAATCCTTGACATCTTCTTCTTATTCTCCCATCTCAGTAAATCACTATCCACCCCACTGCTTCCGCCAACAACACAGGGGTCATTGTTAATTTCCCTCAGTGCCAGCCATCTCCCATTTGCCCCATGTGGATCTACTGTCCATCATTCTCTTTGCACCTTGCAATAGAATTGTGGTTCATAGGGCGACATCGATAGGGTTTCTCCATGCTCTGATTTCCAGTTGATTTCAGCCAAAAGGGAGCCCCATCAATCAAGTCTGGAGGGAGGTCAGAATCTTTATTTTCGTGCCTGAGTGGGAGTGGCTGCCTCAAGTAGGCTATTATCCTTCTTACAAAGTCACTGCTTCTTTTACGATGGCTGACAACATGTGATGTTTTCCCTTTCCTAATTTTGGTAAAAGCTTCTTCTCCTTCCTTCAGGCATAGGAGTGGTAATAGCCTGGCTACGACTAGCAACTACCAGTCACATAATTATTGTCTCCACTCATATCTTTGTAAATTCCTTTGTAAGCCTATCTTAAAGTATCCTAATTTAAATGTTCGTGGGAACTTAGTTGATATAGTCGTTCTTTCATGTTCTACCTTTAGTTCACAGCAGGAATCTACTTTCATTTTTCCCCTTTTTTTCATTTCCCTATTACCATCTGGTTAGTCACCAATCACTCATCATCTCTTGCCTGGACTATTTTGATAATCTTCTATTTTTGGGTGATAGAATAATCATTTAATATGTAAATTAGATTGTTCACCCTCATCTGAAAAATCCTTCCATGGACCTCCAATTTCAGCTTACAGTTGCAAAGCTCTGCGGGAAGTAGCACAGGTGGTACCGTGACCGCCTCTCCAAACCCATTTGATCTCCCTCCTCTACCCATGATATACTGTTTGTTTAAGGCAGGAGCAATCCTGTCATGCTTGAGTCCTTGCTTGAAGTAGCTATTTCACTCGGTTTGAAATGCTCTGAGTTGTCTTTACTTCATGATTGTTTATTTTTTCAGGTTTCACTATAAAAGTCACACGCTCAGATGCTTCCCTGACCACACGATCAAAGCAGGTATTCAGAGTACCACGTAATTCTCTGCATGTAGGTCTAGTTCTCTGCACAGTACTTGGTACCATATGACACAGTTTTACTTGTCATCTCTGGGAAGTAATTTACATGAGAGCTAAGACCTCCTATTATATATACCTAGTACCTCTAATATCACCTAACCCGTGATAGTCACTGAACAGATCTCGAATTCAAACAGTCTTCTCCATTTCCCTGGAATCAGCAATGAATTAGGATACTTAAACCTGTAGTATTTAGTCATTCCCACCCTGAATTCCTCAATAAGTAAAGTTCAGCTAAATCATGGCTATTGCCTGGTTGAATACATAAGTTGGGTTGATGACTTACAACTGAAAGGTTTCATTGTATTTTGGTGACCATGTGTTGCTTTTTGTCTTCGTGCCTTGTTTTCTCTTCTTGTCTCCAAGGTTGGGTCCCAGCATACAAACCTCCACGAAGGGGCGGAACATTGCTGTGGTCTGCCAGTTTAAGTCATTAATAGCAATCACTAAAAACCAAAAGGAAAGGAAACATGAAATTTTAGCAAATCAACTCATGGAAACTTAACAACCTCTGTTCGGTCCTTAGAGTGAATTTTTACTTTCAGAAATGATTTATGAAGCCATAACTTGCATTTGATAGTGCCCTAACCCGATTGACAAGAAAATGTCCTTGAAGAAAAAAACAATTTCCTTTCTGGAAGGCTCACTTAATGGATCTCTCAGCTCTAAGCTCTGTGGTATTGGCATGCTGAAAAGTTAACTGTAATTGAAATGACATCTGCTACAAAAAGTTACCATTCTTCTTTAGGTAAAAACATGGTGTTTTTCAAATTAAAAATTATGATGTGTTTATAATAAAATATTTAGAAAATAGATAGGAAATACATTAAAATAAGGATCTATAATTTTACCACTCATAGGCAATGACAATATTTTGATGTGTATGTTTTACTTTATATAAAAGATGAGTTTATAAATGTGTTACAATCTATTAAGTAGTTTTATTTCTTAAAGTCAACCATGAGTAATTTTCTAATCCATTATAAATTTTCCCCAGCTAATATTCTACCATGTGAATATTCCATCCTACATTGGATATTCTATCCTAACCAGTCACTTGTTAAACATTATGGTTGTTTCCTAATTTTAGTCATAAACAGTTATTAAAAGAACATTCTCATGTGTAGAACTTTACTCATCCTTTGATAATAATATGCTTAGAAAAGCATATTATAACTTAAGTTGTTAATGTAAAAAATTCAGTAAAGTGTACGGCATTTGATATATACTATCAACCTTTTTTATTTTCAAAAATTTTCAAGGACACAGGGCAGTGCCTATGGCTCAAGGAGTAGGGCACCGGCCCCATATACTGGGGGTGGCGGGTTCAAGCCCAGCACCAGTCAAAACTGCAAAAAAAAAAAAAAAAAATTATACATATATATATATTTAAGGACACTAACAGTATCTAGAAACATCCACTTAACCTTATGTAATACAATTTAAAAACATAGCATTAGGCCATGGTTTTGATCAAAATAGATATTATTTATTATGACTACGTGTATAATAAAAAAATAGAATAGGATTATATTGTGCAAAATGTTAATATTAAATTTCACCTTTGAAATGATTCCTGTATTTAGAATCTTTTTATAATATAAATGCAATAGATTGAGCCACTCATTATATTAATTAAAAAAATCAATCCAGTTATTAGAAATCAAAGACTAGGTGGATTCTATGAAGAACAGAAAAAAATGTATTGACTTTTAATGCTTAGACTTGACTGACATCCAGAGTATTAATGTGCAAGGATTATCACAGTCCCAACCACAGACTAATATATATATATATATAATTTAATCATCAATATATTTAAACTGTGTAGATATTTAGAATGATATAGGCTAAATATCTGTGCCATTGATTATATTTCAGTTTTAAATCAAAATTTTGGTTTCATGAAGAAATTCTGAGCATGCCCTAATGTAATTTATTACCCATTTTTATAAAACCAACACAAAATTAAATTTTAGTATCAGTATTGCAACAGAGGTTAAAGTTTAATAGGCTGTTTGATTTATCTGAACCCCAAACATACCTTTTACAGTGACTTTGTGCTCGCCTGTTCCCGGGATGGTAGTGATGTCCACGTGGACAGAGAGCTGACCCACTGCATCTTTGGAGGAACGACCTGCAGATACACAGAAGTTTACTGGCCTGAACTTTCAAACTACTTAATAATGGACATCTACAGTTTCTGCACAAGAGAAATAATGTGTTACTGGAAATAAAAGGTTCTTTCCACTGATAGCTCATAATGCATGTAGTCACTAAGAGGCTTGGGTATCATCACATTCAGACCATCAAGCTAAAATTTCAGATGGCCGATAGAAATCATAAGATACCTCAATACTATTACTGTTGTAAGAACCTGCGGTGGCTTTACAATGAACTTTAAACTGTATCATTGCTTATGGACAAAGATGCATCATTGTTTTTTATCATTTTTTTTCAGCACTTTTCTACAGTGGGTTATAACAGAGCAACTGAGGACACAAGCGTAACTCCCCAGAGCACCTGCCTTCATGAAGCCCACAGTAAGTCAGGGGAGACTAACAGTAAACATATTTTTGCAATATACAGTATTATTAGGTAGTTAACAGACATATTTACAAGGTCTTACTGATGGTACAGAAAGGAGAAGCCAACTCTACCCTGATAAAGGCTAGAGCTAAATGTGTTTTACTGGTAAGTGCCTATGACTTGGGGTCAGATAAACTTGAATTCAAATCATAATTATGCTACTATTGATTGTGTGACCTAGATAATTTATTATATACTAAAGCTTCAGTTTTCTCATTTGTAAAATAAAATTAACACTAACCTCTTACTATATACATTTTTAAACATATCATCTATGAAAATATACTTTTCCCCCATAATTTGAAGCACATGCTGTACCCATTTTTTTTTTAGACAAAGAATTTCATTTTGTTGCCCTCAGTAGAGTGTCATGGTGTCATAGCTCACAGCAACCTCCAGCTCTTGGGCTTAGGTCTCAGCCTCCTGAGTAGTTGGGACTACAGGTACCCATCACAATGCCTGGCTTTTTTTTTTAAATTGCAGTTTGGCCGGGCCAGGTTTGAACCCACCACTCTCAGTATATGGGGCCAGCACCCTACTCACTGAACAACAGGCACTGCCCACTGTACCCATTCTTTACCTTTACTTTATCTTTTCACCTAAAAATATATCAGGGAGGTAGTTCCATTTCAGTATATATAAAGCTGCCACTTATTTTTACATGGCCTGGAATATCACAGCATTAAGTACAAAGTAAATGCTCAAGTAATACTTTGACAATAAATCCCTGAGCTGTTTACCAATATTTAAATAATTTAATTTTAGTATTTTTATTGTTTGGCTGCTAGTCCATTGTATGAACATATAATTTAGCATATTTGATTGTTTCCAGTTCCTTGAGGGAACACATTTTTAGGTTACATTGTTCTTAAACACTAAAGTAAAGTTTAAGTTGTAGGAGAGACCCCCACCCTGGAGTTCTCACGCTAAATACCCTTGCGTTGTACACATTAGGTGAGATCCTATCAAAAGTCCTCCTTCCTCCCTCTAATAGCCCTGCCCCCTTCTCTCTCCTCTACCTCCTCACCTCTCCCCCTTGCTAGACTATATTTGTGTTTTATCATTTGTATGGGTGTACAAGTATTTATATATTGGTTTCACAAAAGTATTGAGTACATTGGATACTTTTTTTGAGACACTTTACTAAGAAGAACGTGTTCCAACTCCATCCAGGTAAACATGAAAGCTATAAAGTCTCTATCTTCTTATGGCTGAAGAGTATTCCATGGTATACATGTACCACAATTTGTTAATCCATTCATAAGTTGATGTGTGTTTGGGTTATTGCAGCCCAATTCATAATTGCCAAGTCATGGAAGCAACCCGGACTTTCTTTCCTCCATAACACCAGAGAGATTATACCAGGAGAAAGAGGAAAGGTACATAAGAGAAGAACACACATTCCCCATTCTACTCTTTCTACTGCTACAGGCACCATGTGGTCTGCTTTTGGGAGAGAGGATGACAGCTTTGAACCAATGTGTCCTAAATGCTTTAAATCAACAGAACCAAACCTTAAAATATATGTATAATTTTCTAGCAACACAAGTAACTAATAAAGTATGAACCTGGACTGTAAGGGAGGCATCTGTGTAGTTGAAAGTGGGACTCACAAGAGAAGAGTTAATAATATTTTTTGGCAAAATACTTTCATACCCTCCCTGAATCAGCAACATCCTTTTGATATGCAATCTTTCTATACAAGAACAGAACAGAGCTGCCCAGTATTCAAGGCCTTTTCTGTGCACCTCAGGGACATTTTTCCTCATGTACATATTGCATAATTTAAAAAATTTACTTTTTTTTTTTAATCTTATCTCATTTAAAATGGGACTTTTCCTTCATTACACCTTATAATAGGAAGGGTTGAGATTTTCGCATCATTTGACTTTATCTGGGCAACTGACTACATTTTTTAATGAGAGATTTTTATATAGTCCCTTTGAGGTTTGCTGGCATACAGTCATATCTTCAATAAATGAAATATTTAACTTTTTCTGTTATGGCTTGCCCTGGCTAGTGTCATTTGCTTCTATCTCTACAACTGTAATATGCGATATTGTTAAAAAGTGATATGCATCTTGGCTTTCTAAATTCATTTTCACCCTTCTCCACTGTGCCTTCAGAAGCTGATCTGTGTGGACAGTACTGGTGGTCTCCTCTTACTCAAGCATCCAGTTGGGTTTGGTAAATCTGGGCAAAACAATGGAAGTGAGGGGTAGGTCTGGTGTTTATCTTCTCAGGCTTTGTCATGTAGAGCCATTTTTACTGACTGACTCCTTCAACCAAAAATAGCGGTTCCTCAAGAAACCCTTGCTAGGTCATAGTCACTTTTCTGACTTTGGTAGCTTCTAACTCCCCATTACTTTCATTTTTGCAGATTTTCTCATATACTTTGTACATAGTTTCTTTATTAAATCCTCTCAAATAATCTCAATTTGGCTGTGCCATCTGATTCCTGCAGGGACCTTGGATCAGTAGAGTTAATATTGTTTTGCCAATAACGCTAATGGAAATGTTTCTTCAAGTATTTTCGCAATGCTCTTAGGTTCTGTGGATCAATAAGATAATTTTTGAATTGTCAAGCGTTAAGTACGGATGAGGCAGAGATGAAGGAGTAGCAAGAGGAAATGTTAGAAAATAGGTGCCATTTGAAAGTCTTCAGATGTTATCCTAGAGTTGCTGAGAAGTCTAAGTATTTAGTCATGAGAGGCATAGTCAGATTTTAAAAGGATTTCTCTTGCCTGTATAAAAGTGGGTCATTCTCACCACTCCATTCTCTCCTAGATAGCTCCACCCTTGCATTTCATTATAACATAAATCAAGCCTTAAAACCCAACTTTTAACTAGGATACCTTTGATCACCTTTTACTTCATGTGTAGTCCTGGACTATGCTACCACATTTGGACTAATTCTTCAAAATACTCTTCCTGCTTTCTATCAAGACAGAAAGTTGCCTATTTGAGACATCCTTCCACTGTTATGTTATGAAGCTCTGTCCAAATCTCTTTATTACATTATAAAATAGTTTTGATTCTAAAATCTTATTATATTCTCAATTTGCTCAAATGCTATATAACATGATACAAAAATTCAGGGCAATGGAGTCAGACTGCCCTGATTATGAATCTGCTCTCAGACACTCATTCGCAGGTGATTAAAACTCCATGAATTTTCATTTAGTTATAAATTGAGATAAAAACCCTTTCCCTAGAAGCAATGATGTGAGACTAAAAAAGGATTAAAAAATAAAGTAGAATATTTTGTGCCTTTCACGCTAACTAATCAATGGGTCCAGGTTTATTATGATGATTCAATACTTAGTAAGAAAATGTTTCAAAGTTATTAATTTCCTTGAATATTCATGCACCATATCCACAGATAAAAATACGCACCCCACCTCCCAGACATGGCTATTATGGTTATCTATATCAAAGACCATAGGAAGACAACTCTGAAGTGACTGCCATTTTCCTTACCATTGGTGGAATTCCTACTTTTTTAAAAATAAGATATCCTTGGTTTAGGACAATAAAGATGTCTGATTGTTACCATTTTCCTTACCATTGGTGGAATTCCTACTTTTTTAAAAATAAGATATCCTTGGTTGAGGACATAAAGATGTCTGATTGTTAAGACCCCAAATGTCTAATAGGGAAACCTTTCCCCCTCTAGTGTAGAGACTTTGATTCACCAATAATCTTGAGAAATAAATTTTCTTGATTAATAAAGTATTTTTAAAAAACTATTATTGAAACCAGGAGTAAGAAAAAGTAAGAAGAAGTAAGTAAGAACAATTCTCTCAACAACACAGAAAATGTAGCCAGCTTTTACGTTTTTCTCTGCTGTTATGTTAATGATCAAAGCCTGCTCAGCGGGTTTATGGTTAAATTTGTGGGAGGTCTTATATGCATTACTATACGGCATCACATAGCAATGGCTGATTTCTACCCCAGCGAACATGAAGAAGTGATGGGCAGACAAATTATTAGAATTATTTATAAATTCAAAAAGCCTTCCATCCAGGCCCTTACCAGCAGGTTGTCATTTTTCACTGGAGTTTCTAATTCCAGAAGAAATTACTTTAAAGGCTTTAATCGGGTTTTTATAGAATTTGAGATGTCTAAATGATAAATCATGTAAAATTCTAATTCACACAAGGGGAATTTTGGTTTGGAGTTCTTAGTTATAGAGGAAGACTGTTGTGCTGTTTTGGAATAAGTAACAGCTAATGAAACACGCCTAAAACCTCTTAAAAGGGAGTCTTTAAATATACAGAATGTTTTCTCCTTCCTGAGTTGCTTTTCTGTGGTCTTCTGCTTGGATATTATAACTGTGTTCTTTTTGTTTTCTAAAGAGATACTAGGGTTGCATTGGCTTCAGGGAAGGGGGAATTTAAAAATCATGTTAATGTACTCAGCAGTGCCTGAACACTTTTCTGAAACCTCCTGGGTGTAAATATTTACTAGACTCTCAAAATATATATTTCCTTCTCTAACACAAAAATGTGAAATTGGCCATTCAATCACAGTCCTGAAAATTGGCTG